TCATATGCACATAATACTACTTACAAATATGAAATAAAATAAGAATTATCATAAAACTAAATTAGAATAATAAAATTCTATGTTTAAAACCATTTTTTGTGAAAAACTATATACGGATCCAGCAGATTGCACATTTTATCCAACAAAACAGGTTAATGAGTCTGCGCAGTAGGCACAATATAGGGATTTCCGTTTCCTTTTAGAATCGGGATGATCGGAAATGTTGATAAATATCTTAAATTGCAGCTTGAATAAGAGTCGGAAACTCTGGCCGTAATGAAATTGGAGAGTTATATTTTATAGGGTTTGATTACCAAAAAAAAAAAGGGGTGAGTATTATGCGTGCGTAGAAGCATTTTCCCACGTTTCAGCAAAATTTTAGGGGTGCGTATTATAGATAAAGGCGTATTATACATGGGGAATTATGAAACATAAAATGTATTCGTCATTTTGCTACAAAATGTACTGTCAGCCCTTCTACTATAAATAGGTATGATTGGAAATAAATATTGCTGGTAATTTTACTATAAATAGGTATTGGTATATTTTTTATATAAAATGTATATAAAAGGTACTTCACTAGTACTTTTTTGTTCCCTATTTGTATGTTATATGGACTAATGTCATGAAAGAGTTCTTTCGTGTTGGCTGATTAATTTTCTTTGACGGTATATAAACTTATATTTGACTATTTATTTTGTATATAATATTATGCTTTCAGATATTTTGTATCTCATTTTCATACTTTTAGAGTAAATGTATGTTTTTCTAGATATCTAATTTGTAAATCATAAAATATATTGTCTTAATTTTACTATAAAAATGTACTTTTGAAATTTGCCCATAGCTGGTACCCTAACAGATGCTAATATCCCGGGTGAGTATTAGAATAAAATAATCAATTAATTATAAAAAAAAGTATATTCTAGAATGTTTCAGTAATGTTATCAGTAATTATAGTTAACGCTATTAGCTATTATCAGAGCATTATGCAATTTCTAGTGATACGTGAAGGTTCTAATAATACCTAAAGGTAAAGAACTGACTATTTCACAAAAACAACACATTTTGTCTCTATGGAATGATGGGAACAGTTACAGAATGATTTTTAACAACCGGAATATCCTTTTACTACAATTGCTTCGTTCATTGCAAGGTTTAAAACTCGTAACAGCGTCGAAAACCAAAGACGAACAGGTGCTCCGAGGAAGATATCTCTAAGATCAGCAAGGATATTAGCACGCCAGATCCAACAAAATCCACAGGTTACCCAAGAAGAGCTGCAGGAACATCTGCGTGCATTAGGGATTAAAGTAACCAAGCGTACAATAAGTAATGAACTACACAAAAACAATCTGAAATCACGCATCCCAAGGAAGACTCCACTCCTCTTGAAACGACACAGAGATGCTAGGCTAAAATTCATTAGAGAGCATAAGGATAAAGAATATTCGTTTTGGGAAAAAGTACTATGGACAGATGAAACTAAAATAGAGTTGTTTGGTCATAATTATCGAAATCATGTGTGGAGGAAGGACGGTGAAGCCTACTTACCAAAGAACACGTTGCCAACTGTAAAGTTTGGTGGTGGCAGTATCATGATCTGGGGCTGTTTTTCTGCAAAAGGTGTTGGCAGAATAACAATAATAGATGGCAAGATGAATGCCGAAAGATACCAGAAAATCCTGCAAGACAATTTAATACGTTCTGTTGAGAGACTTCGGCTACCTCCTGATTGGGTTTTCCAACTGGATAATGATCCTAAGCATACCGCTAGATATACAAGGAAATGGTTAGCTGAAAGTAACGTTGATATCTTGGAATGGCCAAGTTAGTCCCCAGACTTGAACCCAGTCGAGAAATTATGGCGATATTTGAAAATTCAAATTGGGAAAATAGCACCAACAAATATCAAGAATTTGAAAACAATATGCCAAGAAGAATAGGACAAAATACAACTCAATGTGTGCAAATCATTAGTTGAGACGTACAGGAATAGACTGGTAGCTGTTGAACTCAATAAAGGATATTCCACAAAGTATTAAATTAAGTTAATATGCTTTTTTGTTTGTTTTGTACGAATACTTTTTTCATCGGTTAATATGAAAAAATGCATTAATTTCTGTTAGAATAAGAATTAATTTAGTTTATTACTATTTTTTAATAAAATGTATCATTACACATAAAATGTATCAAAATTTGTTATAGTTAAGGCTATTACATTTATAAAAATACAATTTTTTATGTGTGCGTATATTTATTCCCCCCACTGTATATATACAAATTATATAAATATATATATGATATATATATTTATATATAAACATGTATATAAATATAATATAATGTAAAAGTATAAATATAAAAATGTAGTTATATAAATATATATATATGAAAATATATATATATATATACATATACATATATAATAAATATATATATATATATATGTTTAAATATATATATATATTTTAAATATATATATATATATAAATTATATTCATATATATATATACATAAATTATATGAATATATATTATATATTTTATATATATAAATTTATATATAAAAATGTAATATAATATAAGATATAAATATATAAAGAAATGTATATATATATTATAAATATATTTTAAATATATACAGAAATATATATAGAAATATATTTAAATATAAAAATACATATAAATATATATATATAAATTATATATATATTAATATATATATAAAATTATAATAATAAAATAAAAATAAAATATAAAAGTTTATAGAACATAGCAGTATATATATATATATATATATATATATATATATATATATATATATATATATATATATATATATATATATGTGTGTGTATAGTGAATAAATATACGAAGTTTACAGTTTTTTCCATTTCTTTCTCCATCTCTTCATCAATTATCTGCTGCGTTAAGTAAGATCCTATCGCTAAGTCACATGCATCCGTATAAAGTTTACTTTCTCTGGGTACGCTAGCGTCACTGATTTATACTTAGAGAATTGGAAATCCTACCACAATCGTACCATCATAAAATACACAGATTACACAGTACCCGATAACACACATGGAGGAGAAAAAACAAAATCTCCTACAGAATGTATCTAATGTGATCGAGAAGAAAAAAGGAATATGCATAAACTACAAGAAGACAGAATGCATGGTCACCAGTAAAAGAAAGAGGCCGAAATGCGATTTGCAGGAACACTAGAATCAAGCAGATGCGGAAGTTTAAACATCTGGAAGTGTTTTGACAGAGGACGTAAGTGAAGACGAATCTTCATCTGCAGGATATTTACCAACCGCCCCACGCGATCAAATGTGGCACAAAGCCGAATTTAATTTGGCGTATCCTAGCCCATAGGCTCTGACAAAAAACTCCCCGTAGACCGCGTATAAAACGGGGTCGAGTATCTGTTTCCCGAGTCGAGATTCTGTTCTTCGACATAACCTCGCCTGGGGATCCTCTCTGCCCGGAGGCAGAAAGTTTAACCAGCACAGCTGGAGACGAATCTTCAACTACAGGATATTTGCCAACCACCCCACGCGGTCAGATGTGGCACAAGGCCGAATTGAACGTGGGGTATCCGAGCCCGTAGGCTCGGGCAGAAATTACCTGTAGACCCTGTAAAAACCACCTGTCTACCACATAGCCGCGTCTGGGTCCCGAAGGCAGAGAGTTCGACCAGCCCAGCTGGAGACGAATCTCCAACTGCAGACCAACGTACAGTATTTACTACTGTATTTATGTGAATGGGGACATACCCATTATCGTCCGTAAGTATGCTCCAAAAAATACGCAGTGGGATGAATGAATTCGAGGAAACTCATGTCGCCAGTTGGCATAGCGTCCTTCCACGTGTGGTCTTAGGCTGTCTCTCGAACTTGGGTGTGGGAAGCGTATCGACGTTTCGAAGTTCTTGCAACCTTCTTAATTCGCGCCGTTTTGAACTTGCATACTAAAACCAAAACAAAGACAATTCAAAACTGTCAGAATACCACGCCCAAGAAGTTCTCACCAATCAGTGACCATCCTGGTCATGGCCTTCGCATTATACAGTGTGTCCATAAAGTTCGTGTGCACTTTAAAAAAATTATAACTTCATTTGTATTTGTGATAGAAATAATCTGTAAAAAATGTTATAAAGTTTAATGTACCTAGTTTTAAGTCTAGCTAAAATAACTAATGTGATTTAAGGCATTACTGTAAATCAGTTGGCAAATGTTTTCCGTGAACTGCAAAATCGTATTACCCTTTGTATTGCTAATGATTGAGGACATGTGGAAACTTAAATAAAATTTCAATAAAACCTAAAAAAATATAGATTTAGTTCTTTCTAATCCTTTTTACAAATTATTTCTATCACAAAATACAAATAAAGGTATAAATTTTTTAAAGTGCACACGAATTATTATTATATTATTTATAATAATAAAATACAAAGAAGAATCTGAAATGTTATCAGTCCTGTCTCCAGTCATTTTCCCATTGCCGTAATTTCAGATTCTTTATATAACTCTTATTATGTTTAGAAATTTCAGTTCTTTTCCGTAGATGACATAAGATAATATTAAATTTCGAGGTTGGGATTTTAGACATTTTGTTTTTATTTTTTACATCCTCTGACGAAGCAATCTTAATTTTAACGTGTGGTAAGAATAAATTTAAAATGAAAAAAATTAATTTATTGGAAAGCAAACTCTATTCCAAAATGTCATTGGAAAAGTAACATTGCATGAATAGTTTTTTTTATGGTAATTTACCCACGCACGCATGGACTCTCCCAGCTCCAAATAGGAGCAGGTACTGCCTTTGGTGGGTGGGGAGTTTCCAGAAATCAGCTCTGACAGTCGGACCGAACATTCTTGCTGTAACACTCTCGTTTGTGTATGTTTGTATTACTGTTTCTGTTAATATATTTGTTTAACTCAATTCCTCTCTTTGTGTTTCTATTTCTGGCCTTAACGAGGTCACAACACTATGTCATATCTATCAATCTATCTATCTATCTATCTATCTATCTATCTATCTATCTATTATGGTAATTTACCCACGCACGCATAGGAAGAACAGAAATTAAGATGTGGTACCACGTACCTCAAAACCTCCGATTTCATAACCAGAGTCGTTGGTGTTGGATGTAGTTTACTGTCATACCCAGAATGACGTATGTAGGAACAAGTACAATTGTAATATTATGTTGGTAGCTTCTTCACTCATGACAGGATTCCAAGGAGGGTTCTTGTTAAACCTGGCCCCAAGGAGGGTCCTTGTGAAACACTTTTAAATTGCAATGACCTCAAAAATATTTACGGTTCATACAGGCTGTAACAGGTATGCTAAAAAACAAATATTAAAATCTTTGCATAGATTTCTTATAACATGGTTTTTCACCGGTGTACCATTTTAATGTGCGTCCTGGGTAAGACGATAGACTACATCCGCGTACTGAGTAAGTCAATAAACTACATCCAACAGCAAGGCCTTTGATCAGTAGGTTCTGAGGAGCGTGGAACCACCTCTTAATTGCTGGTGTTCCCAAGTTCACCCTGACCCGGGGTGGTAGCACCTGTTAGATGTGCCCGGTATGGGCATATATTTAACCCCCAAACTGGGGTCAAAACATTATGAAAGTGTAAACATAGGTTTTAATACCAGCAATATATTTTTGCAAAAATTATTACAGCAATAAATTTTTGAAGAAGAAAATTATTAGCAGCAATACATTATTATAAACAATAAATTTTGAAAGAAAAAATTATTACCAGCAATAAATCATTACCAGCAATACATTATTATCAGCAATACATTATTACCAGCAATACATTTTGAAAAAAAAACATTATAACCACCAATACATTATTACCACCAATACATTTTGAAAGAAAAAAAATTATTACCAGCAATACATTTTTGGAAGAATAAAATATCACCAGCAATGCATTTTTGAAGAAAAAATATGACCAGCTATAAAACTCTTGTCGGCATTAAATATCCCATTGAGGTTGATATGCCGTAAAACAAAACAAACCAAACCGATATATACTGAGATGAAAAATATTACCAGCAATACATTGTTGTAAAAATATTACCATCAATACATTGTTGTAAAAATATTACCATTAATACATTTTTGAAGAAAAAATATTACCATCAATACATTTTTGAAGGAAAAAAATATAACCAGCAATAGAGTTTTGGAAAAAAAATATTACCAGCAATAAAAAAATCTTGTCCGCATTAAATATCCCATTGAGGTTGATATACCGTAAAACAAAACAAACCAAACCTTTTTAATCTAATTTATAAAAAGGGGAGATAATTCTATTTAATTTCCATATAAACAGACGCAAGTCAACGTCAAAAGATTTGCACTTATATGAATCTTTCTCTAGCCAGTCGTTGCTGAAGAACCCTTACAATAGACAGATAGATTCTGGTTATTTAGTATCTGTTGTCGAGGCAGTATCATCCAACTGAGCTAATGCGGTAAGGTCAGAAACTTGAGCGAGGGCCAGGTGACTATTTATATTATGCGAAATTGCATAGAATTAGCGAAAGGTGCCTTTTCAGTAATTTAACCGATTATTAATAGATCGGGAAATAGCCTGGGAAACAAAGAAAAGAATGATGAATTGCTGAGTGATATCGAATTTCCTACGCGGAAGTAAATGCTGGACAATCTCCTCGCAGAATTGGAATAGGATTTGAAACGACTTAGTAGTGCTTCTCTTGAACAATGCTAAGAATACCACAGGCAATGGAAACTACAAAGAAAGTGATACCGAATAATAGGAAGAACCAGCCATACATTATGATGAAGAAGAACCTGGAAAACGCTTAGAGGAGGACTTCTTGAATAAAAGAAGTAAACAATGGGTTTAACAAGTCTTATGGAATGAACTGAACACGAACAAAGTGAAGGATGAAGAGGAAAAAAGTTAGATAAACCAACAAGAAGCTGTAGAGAGCCGTGATCGCCGACGTTTTGAATACTTATTATAAAACCCAGGTTGTGTGTGTGTGTACGTTTATATATTGGATCGGATTTCCTACATTTTTCAACCGATTTCAACAAAACTTCACAGGACTACGTAAAATTACCTTGCAGGGGTTCTGACAGCGCCAAAAATTGTTTTTGCATGAAATCAATTTGAAAACACGATTAAGAGGCATCACTGTCGCTAGAATGAAAGCGGGACAACTCATATCGAGTTATACTTATTATAAAACCCAGGTTGTTTGTGTGTATGTGTGTGTTCGTTTATATATGGGATCGGATTTCCTACATTTTTCAACCGATTTCAACAAAACTTTACTTTCTTTTTGGCAGGTAGTCTTTCTTATTGTCTTGCACACTTTTTTCTTTATTTTTACATTCAGAATGCTTTAAAATTTCCATTTACAAGACAATTGTTTATAATAAAATTCTAATCAATCGATAGACTCATAACGATTGAAAACAATGTTTTTGTTTGAGTTTGGGTTTGACCAATTCGTAAAAAACCAAAAACAAAAAAAACAAAACAATTAAGACATGCGTGTCCGTCAACCTTAAACAATAATTTTTGTCAATTTTATTTTTCAGTCTTTATGATGGTTGATACTTGATCTATCTCCTACTGTTACATCCCCGGGCAACGCCGGGCTCTACTGATAGTAGCATATAAAAGAAGCCTCTTAGCTGCTTGATGTAAGGTTTTCCAAACGATGTGGAAATTTATTTAAGGCAATGCTCCTTACAGGATTTAGACGATCATGACTCACTATAGACTCATTTTACTTTATTATCGGTGAATTACGATGCCTTGATTTTGCAATGTCAACGAACAGAGGTTGCCAATTTTGCGATGCCAACGAATACCCGTTGTCACTTTCGTAAAGCTCGTTGTAGTAGAGACTTTGTAATCGCAGATACAACTATAGTAACGCCGTTGAATAATACTGGTGTCAGACGCCTTCGAATATCACTCGCACTAATAGTACTTGCTCGATAATACTCGCTCGAATAGTAACCACTGAACAGTGATCTGAATAGTGAAATAGTATAGACGGAGGATAGTGTAGAAAGAGTGTTGTACGTATATATATATATATATATATATATATATATATATATATATATATATATATATATATATTTGTGATGCGAACGAACACTCGTTGTCACTTTTGTGATGTCAATGAATACTCGTTGTTACTTTCGTAATGCTCGTTGTAGTAGAGACTTTGTAATCGCAGATACAATTATAGTAACGCCGTTGAACAATACTGGTGTCAAACGCCTTCGAACATCACTCGCACTAATAGTACTTGCTCAATAATACTCACTCGAATAGTAATTACATAACAGTGTTCCGAATAGTGAAATAGTACAGTGAATAGTATTGACGGAGGATAGAATAGAATCTGTGTTGTGCGTATATATATATATATATATATATATATATATATATATATATATATATATAAAATATATATATTTGTGATGCCAACCAACACACGTTCTAACTTTTGTGATGCCAACGAATACTCGTTGCTCCTTCGTAATGCTTGTTGTAGTAGAGACTTTGTAATCGCAGATACAACTATAGTAACGCCGTTGAACATTAATGGTGTCAGACGCATTAATAGTACTTGCTCGATAATACTCGCTCGAATACTAATTCGTATAGTGATCTGAATAGAAAAATAGTATAGTTAATAGAGTAGAGAATAGCGCTCCGAAATGTAATAGAGGATAGACTAGAAATGGAGATCCGAATTGTAATAGAGGATAGACTAGAAGCAGCGTTTAGAATAGGAATAGAACATAGACTAGGAATGCAGATACTTTAGACGTCACGCGTCTTCCTCTGTATGTGTCTCCTTTGTGATCCACTTAATTCAATAATGGGATCACTTGTGTTTTCACACTGGCGATCTATGTTCAAACTCAGGTGTCGGCAGAGACACTTTATTCCTATATAACACTTGAATAAGACAGTACGTTGATTTTCTATTGCTTTCTTCAATTTAGAAGATTTCTTATCTTAAATCGTTTGCCACCCAAGGGTAGATATGATGTCTACCTAACAATTTAACTTATTCTTCTAATTACAAATTGCAGATACTTAAATAAGGCAATTACAATAATTTAAATATTTGGGAGGCATTTTAACAAAGCTCAGATAGTATGACACAGAAATCCGAAGGTGCAATGGGATAGCGAAGGAAGCCTTCCAAAAGCTAAGCACAGTATTAAGAAACAGAAAAAGTTAGACACTGAAATCCGAAGGTGCACTGGGGTTGCGTAAGATGTTTTCCAAAAGCTAAGCACAGAATTAAGAAACAGAAAAATTTCGACACTGAAATCCGAAGGCGCATTGGGATAGCGAAAGGTGCCTTCCAAAGGCTAAGCACAGTATTAAGAAACAGAAAAAATTCGATAGTGAAATTGGAAGGTGCATTGAGGTAGCGAAAGATGTTTTCCAAAAGCTAAGCACAGTATTAAGAAACAGAAAAATTCCGAAACTGAAATCCGAAGGTGCATTGGGATAGCGAAAGGTGCTTTCCAAAATCTAAGTAAAGTTTTTTTTTTTTTAAGGCAATTCACCCCAAGCAAGGCGAGAGTATCACTAGCACGCAAGGGGTTACAGATCTTTGAGAACAAAGGTAAAGAACCATATCTGGGGAAAGGATACAGAGGAGGACAGGGAACAAACTCAGGGTGTCAGATGTCGATTGACATTGCGCTTGAATATTTGAAGATTATAGTCATCGGGTAAAAAATAAGGGGAAGGGAGTTCCCACGACAGAAAGTGCGGGAGAAGAAGCTGTTTCAGAAGAAGAGACAATTACATTTAACCTTTTTGACAGTGAAAGGGTGAGACTGAGATGCCAGCCTGGTAGCACGTTTAAATCCATATAGACCGGGAACCAGTGAAAGTAGTTGGTTGGAACAGTTGCCATGAAAATATTTATAGAAGAGACAGTCTGGCCACAGCACGTATGTGGGATAGCGATTGTAGACGAGATGCTGGACCAGGACCTATCATCTTGCATATTCCTTTCTGGATATTGTCGAGGACCTCGAGACATACAGCGGGAGCATCAGGACATATATTACAGCAATATTCCATGCAAGGATGGATGGTTGATTTATAGATTTGAAGGATGGACTCAGACGATGAATATTTGTTTAGAAAGAAAAGAGTACTGGACTCTTCTGCAATATCAGTCCTTCTATATGACAGTGAATGCGGGACAATCTCCTCGCAGATGAAGAAGTGGCGTGAAGCAACAGAAAGTCGGTTCTAGAGAAGAGTGTTCACAATCCCGTCGACTGAAAATGTGAGCAAAGATGAAGTTTTAGAGAAATGGGAAAAAAAGAACACGTATATGCGTGTCAAAACGTCCTTGCCGTTTGCTGTTACGTCGTGTGCGAAAAAAGGATCACTGATACGAAACTGAGTGCGTCAAGTGTGGAGAAAACTGTTGGGTACGGGCTTTGCTCTTGACCAATGCAGGTGCGTTCCGCACACACATCAGTCATAGCTCGAGTGTTGGATATTGTTTGAGAAAAGATTTTGGGCCTTACTTCCGCTGCATCAGTGTGTGAACGGAAATCGGAACTGGTGATTGCAGGAACAGGAAATACATCTGGTGGCTAAAAAGGACGCGCAGGTGTCCTGAGCCTTGAATAGACAAGGCGCACGGGTATCCTGAGCGGCAGAAATGTGTGCCTGCGTGGGCGAAGTTGCGTGGGAGCATGTCGCAAGAGGCGTGGTCACACAAAGTTGTGTAGGCGATATATCGGAAGAAGGTTTAGCCACATGAAGTTGCGTAGGTGTCTAAATGTTATATAACCGGTCCGATTCTTGATCTAGAGAGAGAGATAGAGAGAGAGAGGTTTACCGAAGATTTGTCTCCGCCAATTCCTGTGTGCGCAATCCTAAACTCTGAGATTCTCACTCATTCTACCCATTCGCCGCAACTCGAACAATAATGATATTGATATATTTTTTATATATGAGTGTTCGTCGCCTTATTTGAGCTCACAGCAATATACTACACGATCAGCGGCGACGGAAGTGGCAGTATCGAAGCGGTCGTTCGGGGTTGTCTACTTTTTGACTTTATGGGTGGCTTTTCCGCAGTCGCATCAAGATTTTATGGATAATGCTGTCAGTGAACGCACCACCAAGCATTAGTTCCAGAAGTTCAGTTCTGGAGATGTCTCTTTCGTATGAACCCAGCAGTGGCCGGCCATAGGGCAGGACAACAGTCAAACGTGTGATGAGCTTGCCGAACGCTTCCAGGTACCTGATGAAACATTCAGATTTCAACTACACCGTATAGGGCAGGCGTACGCGTTGAACAAGTTCCTACCCCACATAAGCAACAACAAGTGACAGCCTGTTTCTTGTTGATTTCTCGGAACTGCAACGTACCCCTATTTGATCGAGTGCTCCCCAGAAACGAAAAAGCGAGTCTTGTATGACACGTCCAAGCGTGTCATATATTAGTTGTCCCTACGGGACACTCTGCTTCACACCACAAGACCATCTTTATCTCCATGTAAGATCATTCTTTATGATGGATTAGTCGACAAGTGGTATGCTGTGACCTTCTACCATCGGGTCAAATCATCACTGTGGGCCTGTACACATAGTAATTTGAACGTGTGCAACAGACACTGAGGCAGGTGGAGCCAGAATTGGTTAATTAAAAGGGTGTACTCTACGTCCATGACAACGCCAGTCGTCATGTGGCGCGGATGGCCAGAGATACTATACGGCCTGTTGCCTTGAAAAAACCATGGAACTTGAACCAACAGATTACCATTTCTTCCATGCCCTGGATAAAAATTTTTGTGGGAATTTCTTCGGAGATGAGGACAGGCACTCACAAATTCTTTGCTTCCAGTACACCTGTTTCTACCGAAAGGCCATTGCGCATCAGGAGACACGGTTTCAAAAAGTTAATTTGTTAATCCTCGTAAGATTCACTTATTCGTGAATCTTATGAGGATTAACAGTATGCCAAATTTGATGTATAACTTCTTTTTTGTAATCAATCAGAAACAGCAAGCATTTTTTGTTAGCTTGTATAATTATCATCATCGATAGTTGAAATTTCTAGGGCACATAATGAAGAAAGAAGACTTAGAAAATCTGATACTCACAGGACAGATTGTAGGCAAAAGGAATGAAGGAAAGCATCTATAACCTACCTAATGAGTTTGGTTAAATGCTTAGAAAAACAGGGTTTAGAAGAGATAACTCAAAATTTACTAAGAGATATAACGGACAGGAAATAGTGGAGGGACATGATCGCAAATGTCCTGATTGGATACAGCATGTAGCAGAAGATTGTACTTTTCAGATGGATAGCTTGCTTGAGGAAAATTAAAAATAAGGCACAAAAATATTTCTCCAATTGACTTTTTTCCACAGAAAACACTTTTCGAAATTGCTTCTCCCTTTGACTTGATTAAAAATAAAAATAAACTTTCAAACATGATTAAGGTGGGTATTTTTATTTTAGTTTCCGAGTTTAAGCGAAAGCAAATCGTATATATTTTTTTTATATCGGCGACTGATTTACCTTCTTGTGAAGAATTCGATGAATTGTTTGTGTGTTTTCCGATAAAGCATCAATATGAGTTCAGTAAGAATTTTTTGTCTACTTTCACCTGCCAAATATAAGCCTGATTGATCAGTTTCACAAAGCTATTTGATAAGCTCTCTATCAATAAGTAAACTTCTTCACCATTCTGTGTGAGAAGGAAATGAATAGGAAAAAAAATTACCTCCTTGAACTTAATATCCTTTAGGCAAGAATTGGTTGGAAATGGCAGTGCCTCTGGGATTTCCTGACTCGGAGACAACTGAATTTTCCGCCATTCACTCGGAGTTATATTTGGGTTTCCTTTCAGTCATTCGCACTTAAGAACCAAATCATATTTCCCCTTCGTACTGAGGAAGAAAAAGAAAGATTTCATTTGTTTTGACGCAACACTTAATCAGTTTCTTCCCATATCTCTCTTTCATTTTCTGAGTTCTCCTCAAAAATTCAAATTGAATATATGTATAAAAATCAATGAATTTCCTATACATGAATTATTTGCGTCTATTCCTTTCCTTTCTATGGAATATTTGAGCATATAACTTTCCATTGTAGGGAATATTTGAGACTACACCTTTTCCTTTTGTTATAGTGAAACACACCTATTCTATTGTTAATAGACTCTCCCACCTATAATAAGTAGGAGTAGGAAAAGTAGTAGTAGCAGTCGCTCAGTGAGTTGCTCAGTCAGTCGATATCGAACGACCGTTAGTCGGATATTAAAGTATCAGCCACCACAACTAGATTACTGCGTCATTACCTGTTATATCAAGTTCCTAACGTTTTGTACGTCGAACCTATTTTAGGACCGACTTAGTACAAATACAAGCCTCCACTGTGAAACCACTACATAACACTTTTCTATGCAATAATTGAGTCTATGACTTTCTATTGTAGGGATGTTTGTCTATGCCTTTTCTTTGTAGGGAGTATTTGAATCTGACTTTCCATTGTAGGGAATATTTGAGATTATGACTTTCCTTTCTATGGAATAATTGAAACTATGTCATTCCTTTGTATGGAATATTTGAGTCTATGCCCTTCTTTTCTATGTAATATTTGAGTCTATGCCTTTTCTTTGTAGGGACTATTTGAGTCTATGACTTTCCATTGTAAGAAATATTTGAGACAATGTGTTTCCTTTGTTTGGAATATTTGAGACTATGCCTTTTCTTTCTATGGAATAACTGAATCTGTGACTTTCCATTGTAGGGAATATTTGAGTCTGTGCCTTTCCTTTGTATGGCATATTTGCGTCTATTCCTTTCATTTGTACGGAATATTTGAGTCTGTGCCTTTCCTTTGTATGGCATATTTGCGTCTATTCCTTTCATTTGTACGGAATATTTGAGTCTGTGCCTTTCCTTTGTATGGCATATTTGTCTATTCCTTTATGGAATATTTGGTCGTATGGCATATTTATTCTATTCCTTTCATTTGTACGGAATATTTGAGTCTGTGCCTTTCCTTTGTATGGCATATTTGCGTCTATTCCTTTCATTTGTACGGAATATTTGAGTCTGTGCCTTTCCTTTGTATGGCATATTTGCGTCTATTCCTTTCATTTATACGGAATAAGCCTTTCCTTTGTATGGCATATTTGCGTCTATTTCTTTCATTTACGGAATAGTCTGTGCCTTTCATTTGTATGGCATATTTGAGTCTATTCCTTTCATTTGTACGGAATATTTGAGTCTATTCCTTTCCTTTGTATGGCATATTTGCGTCTATTCCTTTCATTTGTACGGAATATTTGAGTCTGTGCCTTTCCTTTCTATTGAATATTTGAGTCTCCGCCTTTCTTTTGTGTTATGGATTAAATTGTATGAGTCATTGCTAAAAATTGTGATACTAAAAAAAAACATTACTGCAATATTCGCACATTAAAAATGATATATTCTTACAATGCAAAATAAGATCTTGAAAGAGAAATTCATGTGCAATGTAAAAGTGTAATTTTAGTTATTTTTCTCAGGCAAGGCGATAATGCCACTAAGACTCAAGGGGAAGCTAAACTACTGTTCAAACAATCCGGGAGGAGTGTGGACCTGGCGATATACAATTCTATATACTTCTGTTGAGTAGAAAAGATAATTACTAAATAAGATTTCAGAATTTAGATGTTAGAATTATAGAGTTGAAATAGAATTTAATAGGAACTGAAAGCCAAATACTAAATTCCTGTTTAGAAAAATAAAAAATGAATAGTAAAAATTTCAGACTTTAGGCTGAGACCTTAGGAGTATAGATCTGAAGTAGAATTTAGATTTAAGATCAAGATTTTAGATTTCCAGAAAACTACTATCATTTACTTTGCGAAAATTCTCTGAAAATTTCTTGCATTATAAGGAGACTTTTTAGCATCAGGTCCATTTTTCTAAGTCAATGTGTGAAACCTCCATAAATGATAATAATAATAATAATAATAATAATAATAGGGAAACAGATGCCAACAGACCTGATATTATCATAAAAGACAAGAAATTCAGGGACAGTACGTTTATTGACATAGCAGTACGATCTGAGAGAAACAAATCCCATAAAAACTATCGACAAATTGTCCAAATACAAGGACCTGGAGATGGAAATTAACAGGAGGTGGGGAATGAAGAATGAGACTGTACCAATAAAAATCGGAGCTCTGGGCTTCGTGAGAGAAGGAATGGACAATTTTATTAAAAAGTGTCTCAGAGAATATCAATATACATGTTGCCCAGAAGGTAGCCCTACTAAGAACATCACAAGTGCTAAGAAAAGTGCTATCAATTAAATGACAATTCTCCTATAGGGCCTAAGTATCGTATTTTGAACCCGCATCTATAGAATACAAAACAGGAAACATAACACACAAGCAATAATAATAATAATCGACATTAACAGGATGTGGGGAATGAAGACTGAGACTGTACAAATAGTAATCGGAGCACTGGGCCTTATGAGAAAAAGTATGGGCAAGTTTACTAACAATGTCCAAGGTAACATGCAGATTGTCCAGAGGATAACCCTACTAGGAACATCCCATGTAATAAGAAAAGGGCTATCAATTAAATGACAATTTTCCTATAGGGCCTAAAGACCGTAGTTTGGAACCAGCTCTGTAGGATACAAAGCAGGAAACATAACATACAATAATAATAATAATAATAATAATAATAATGAATGAAGTGTTTTAGTCTTTACTTGATGTAACTTTTTGCTGCTTTATTTTCAGAGCAACTGCAGTTCATTTCCACTTCTTGCAGTGCAAAGAGCATCTCCGATCGTACGTCACGACCAGCACATTACTTTTACATTTCGCTTATCGGTGGAATAAAAACAGAAAAGAAAAATGCGGACAACGATATTTCCTAATGTGAAAAAAAAAGTCTGTGCGGACGTGTGTGTGTGTGTGTGTGTGTGTGTGAGAGAGAGAGAGAGAGAGAGAGAGAGTGTTAGAGAAAGAAAGTGAGAGAATGCGTGATTAAGAGTGTGAGGGAGATAGGGAAAGAGAGAGAGAGAGAGAGAGAGTAAGTGAAAGAGATAGAGATGGATTTTCTTCTGTGGTAAGAAAACCTTTTATTCTTGAGTGACTTCAAACGTTCAGTTGAAAACTATTCTAAATAGCCTGTGAGAACTCTTCTGCCGTTTTTCAGGTTTCTGGCACAGTCAAAGAAAAGTTACTTAATCAATGGCTTTATCTGATTGAATAATTGACTTGCCAACACCTTCCTTAACTTTGGCTTTGTTTCTTTGTTTCTTTCTTTCTCTCTCTCTCTCTCTCTCTCTCTCTCTCTCTCTCTCTCTCTCTCTACAGATCAACTAATATAGCTGAATAAGTCGGTTTTGTCTTGTTTTCTCTTTGTGTCTGACTGCTTCGTGTAATTCTATCTATCTATCTATCTATCTATCTATCTATCTATCTATCTATCTATCGTCACTGATCTTATCTATCTATCTATCTATCGATCTTAGTCTGCTCATTATCTATCTATCTATCTATCTATCTATCTATCTATCTATCTATCGTCATCTGATCTATCTATCTATCTATCTATCTATCTTAGTCTGCTCATTGTCTGCTCATTATCTATCTATCTATCTATCTATCTATCTATCTATCTATCTATCTATCTATCTATCTATCTATCTATCGATAGTCTGCTCATTATCTATCTATCTATCTATCTATCTATCTATCTATCTATCTATCTTAGTCTGCTCATTGTCTGCTCATTATCTATCTATCTATCTATCTATCTATCTATCTATCTATCTTAGTCTGCTCATTGTCTATCTATCCTAGTCTGCTCATTATCTATCTATCTATCTATCTTATCTATCCATCTATCATATATCTATATCTATCTATCTATCTATCTATCTTAGTCTATCTTATTATTATCTATCTATCTATCTATCTATCTATCTATCTATCTATCTATCTTAGTCTGCTCATTATCTATCTATCTAACATTTTCTTAACCTTTTTTATCTATTCTTCCTCTGTGTTTTCTTTTAACATTTATTTATTTATCTATCTATTTCCCGTTTTGCTTTTTAAAGTATCTATCTATCTATCTATCTATCTATCTATCTATCTATCTATCTATCTCATTCTCTTCTACTGGTATCATGTAAGCCAGTACTACCTGTTGCATGGTGGGGCAATCGGAGACTAAACTGATTCCCCCACCAGGTTTACCTGGTGAGGAGTGTGGCTAGAAACCCTGCAGGTTAAAAACAAGACCTGTCAAAGGGCAAGATGAACATCTTTGAGAGGTCAACGGCTATCTAGTGCAGTCTGCGCGAGTCCATAAAAATATTTGGCCTGGTATCCAGACGTGCGGTTAGAAAATATTTTTTGATAGAAAAACTGCCTCATGGCCACATTAGGTATCTTGGAACTGCTTGTCTCTGGACAATGTGGTTTTGTGGTGAGGGTCGATGCAGTGTTGTGCAAGCTACATCCGACCTTAAAACCAGCATTACTGACTAGTTGTTAGCTTGTAGTATTTTGCTTCTTTTTTTTTTAATCCACGTCTGAGTGCGATGGGTATGCAGCGACACGTAACGGTCTGATGGGCTGGAAGTGCGTAGCTGCTGTTCTGCACATTTGGCAGCCTCTGGGTAGATGTAAAGTCGCTAGCTCATCTTCATTGAGACAGGTGTGACTTTCGGTTCTTTCAGGCGTGTCTGAGCAGCCCTTTCAATGAGAGCATGGCTCATCAGAATTGATGGAAAGGGCCTAGAAAAATTGCCTGTCTCAACTCATCCGGTGGATGTCGATTTTGCGCTCGAACACTCAAGTGATCTGTCTGGAGTCAGAATGACATAAAAAGGCAGACTAAAATTTAAATATATAATTCCTGCCTTATGTCATCTCTTCTATATTCAGGTGAGACATGGTTAGTCTATCACAGACATCTGAAGATACTGGAACGATTTCTTCAACGCTGTCTTCGGTCTGCACTTGAAATCCACTGGATGCCTAACATCTATGATACGGTTGTTTTACAAAGGGCCAATTCACTTTCTGTGGAAGCACTTAGACACAAGCACAGATTGCGATGGTCGGGCAATGATGTCCGTATGGCGGATGACAGAATTCCAAATAAATCAATGTATGGAGAATTGGAAATAGTAAAAAGACCTTCGTTAAAAAGATTGCCTTAAAGATTCGCTATACAATTGCAATATTGGTCTGGATAATCTTACAGGTTTTTTTTTTAATTATGCGTGTACTAGTGAGCTAGTCAAAATGAGCTGATTCATTTCATACTTCACCCATAGAAAGGTTAACCAATCAGAAAGCTCAAAATATTCAATCCGACGTGAATAAAGGCAGCCATTTTGTTTTTTCTCCCAAAAATAGCTTCACTGCCAACCTCTGATATCGAAGACTTAAAGAATTAACAGCCGCTACTTTCTCCGAATCTTCACTGCCAACCTCTGATATTGAAGACATTACGGACTTTACTGGATTCCATATTCAGAGACTACGGCAAACATGGTCAACAGATAACTGGGAGACTATCTGAAGATCAGGTTTCTTGGAGAACTGGTATTGCCAACGGCGTGAAGATCTTCCATGAAGCAAACCCAAAGTATGCAGAACTGAAAATAGGGGTTCTAAAGGGATCCCATGAATTGTCAGGAGGTGCCAACCTGGCCATGTGCCCAATGCAATCGAGTATCTGTCCAGGTCGGGTCTGCTCCGTTACCAGAAATCACACCAAAACGAACAACAACAGTCTATTATATATGATGATTTCGTAACGGTATGCTTTGAATATCCGACCTGCACTAGGGTGTGAAAGTCTAGGTCGGGCCTAACAAGGCCTATAAAAAGGCACATTGGAAGAGATGATTTGATATGCCACACATGTAACAAGAAATGAGAGAAATGGTTGCATGAATGACAGTGGCTATATAAGCCACTGTCATTCACACAACCAATGAATGCAGTGTTAGGGGAAGGGGGAATTTAACTGAAGAGATGGACATGTCAGTGATGGTCATACTCGCTTTGTGAGTCAACAGCCACCACCATCTATCTACCCCACCGTCTTCATATCTATCTATCTATCTATCTATCTATCTATCTATCTATCTATCTATCTATCTATTTATTTCCGTTATCTATCTATCTATCTATCTATCTATCTATCTATCTATCTATCTATCTATCCCAGTCTGCTCATATCTATCTATCTATCTATGACAGCCTGCTCATTATCTATTTATCTATCTATGTATCTATCTATCTCGGTCTGTTCATTATCTATCTATCTATCTATCTATCTATCTATCTATTTAAAGGCATTTTTATGTTTAACGTTCTTTTTATGGATACAAGTATTTAAGTAAATGCTCTGTTTATAATAAACAGTATTAAATAACATTTACCGGCCTGAATGTCCGAGAAATTTTCATACAAAATATTCGTCCTTCGACAGTATTCGAACCTGTATACTATAAGGAACCGTCATAAAGCCTGACGTGACTTACCGCTCGGCCACAAAAGATCGTATATCGCCATTGCTGTTACTAGGAAGCGAAGCTTTCCTCAGGTGTAAGAACAAAAGAAATTTAATTAATAGGTCCGTAGAAAGGGATTGAGCTTGCGTTTAAACTTTTGAAGATTAAGGCTGTCTTGAAATCAAGGAGCTGGAAAGGATTTCCACAAGTGAGAAGTGTGTGAAAAGGAACTGCTAGCATATAAATTACGGTTGATGTTTGTATTTTTAACGCTTATTATTGTATTGTGCTTGTAGTGTCAATCGCTATGATATTGATTATTATTGATATTGTGCGCTTTCCACTAAGTACCGTGCATATATATATATATATATATATATATATATATATATATATATATATATATATATAATGCATTTTAATTAATATTGGAAGTAGTCATTGAAAGAATAAATCAATAAGGTTAATGTAATTAATGACGAATTCACTTCGCTAACAGATTAAATAAGGCATTAACTTACTGGCCACTCATTGAACGACGCGATACTTGATTTCATTAACTGTAAAATGGATTAGATATTCGGTCCATATTATTTAAAGTACTTTCGGCAAGAACATTTATCATCCTCAGCCATAGATGTTATTTGTTTTTCAATTTCAGGTAATTTCGGGTAAAATTCCAAGACGAAAATGAATGTGATAAGTGTTGAATGTTTATTAAAAAGTGTGCTATTAGAATTTTTCTAAGCGTGCAGTAATGCGACGGCAGATTTTTGAATATTGTAGTAATTCACGAATTCTGTTATTGCGTTTTTTCCATTGACATGGACTAATTGGCATGGACTAATTGGCATGTCTATATTTCTGAGATGAGGTATTTCCTTACAACACACACACACAACACACATATATATATATATTTATATATATAATTATTATTCGAAAATTATAACATAAATATGTTATAACATCACTACAAAAATAGTCATTTTGTTTCAACACCTCTGGTGTCTTATCAAGTGATGATGTTGAATGCAGAATAAAGGATTTTAAAAGGTTCAAATCAATCAAACACCCTCGCTAATGGAAACGTTGTTACATAAGCTCGAATGACCAATCAAAATACAAGTATACGAGAATTCAAAAGTCTTGACAACGAACTAAGGTTATAATAATTATTTAATGCCTTAATGTTGGGGTTAGAATAAAACAGAATTTATTCTAATAAATATTAAATTATACGATAAAATTTATACTTATATATATATATATATATATATATATATATATATATATATGAGATGAGGCATTATGTACACTATTTACATATATTTCTCGCCATATTTATTACAACGTTTCAGCCGTTGTACGCTCCGGCCTTGCTTTCTTCAGGTGGTTGGAATGTCGAACTGAACCCTTTATTTCGCTCACTGGGGTAGACTGTTCTAGTTTCACGTGCCATGTCTAATGGATGACAGATGTCAGTTATCTCCTACTTAATGCCCTCACCAAGTTCTCCACCGCCTTAACCAGATATTAAATTCACACTCTTTGGTTCTTGTCACTTGATCTAACTAACGACTTTATCCACTGTGACATCTGTGTATAAATTCCTGGCTATTATAAACCTAATGTCTTCAGCAACCATATATAGCGGCAAAGATGAGGACAATAGTCAGACTAATGTAAATAGTATATATATATATATATATATATATATATATATATATATATATAATGATATGGTTATTCATTGTTTAAAAAAGAAATGCTTTGACGAAGGTCGATGTCAGTTCTTCCACTAATTTAATTTTTTTTTTTTATTGTAGGTCTTGACTGAAAATTCCCAACAAATGAGATTTCGTAAACAAGCAATTATTTTCTTTTTCCCTTTCGTTATTGATCGGATAGAATAAGAAGTTTTTCCCTGATTATGTATGTGGCGAAAAAAAACATTAAGAGTCTCTGTTGATCCAAGATTGAATTTCTCGGATAAAAAACTTGTGAACTATGATATGATTTATAAGCAATTTATTATTTATCTGTGGATCGAAGATTCTGGAAAGGACGCCACATCATCTACAGGACAGTCAACAATATCTTGGTTAGAGACTGTGTTTATAGGAGACAAAGTTGGTGATCCATTTGAAAGTACCTAAGTTGTTATATATACATATATATATTTCTAACTTAATATAAAAATGAGAAAATTAGCAGTCAAGTGCTAGTATCTCCTGACAAGTGGCCGGATTGATTTCTGGACGGTCAAGTTTACGAAACAATGGAGTTCAGATGCTGAATCAATCATCTAAATGACATAATTTATATTTGTATTACCCCCATACACATTATATATACATATACATATACATACATACATACATATATATTTATTAAAGACATTTTTATGTTTAACGTTGTTATTTATAGACACAAGTATTTAAGCAAATGCTCTGTTTATGATAAACAGTATTAAATATTTCTATAAATAACAACGTTAAACATAAAAATGTCTTTAATAAATAAATTGTCGGACCTTGTCTATTTCTTAATATATTACGTCATTTGTTTACATTTGATACGCCAGGTTCTTTGTGGCCGAGACGGTTAAGGCACGTCAGCGTAAATGACGGTTCCGTATAGGATGCAGGTTCGAATCCTGTCAAAGAACGAATATTTTCTATGAAAATTTCTCGGACATTCAGGCCGGTAAATGTTATTTAATACTGTTTATCATAAACAGAGCATTTGCTTAAATACTTGTATCTATAAATAACAACGTTAAACATAAAAATGTCTTTAATAAATAAATTGTCGGACCTTGTCCATTTCTTAATATACATATATATATATATATATAGATAGATAGATACGTTTTAAAATTGTCTTCTTCATGGTATACCATATTTATGATGCCATGATTAGTTTCTCATGAGAAGCTACACATCGTCACATCAAAATTTAACTTTTGAAAATTATAGAACACTGAAACCGGTATATATATATGTGTGTGTTTGCGTGTGTGTGTGTGTGTGTTTTACACAAATGGACTCACCCAGGGTATACATATACTACTGCTAGTGAATACCCAGAACGAGAAAGAGCGACGAAGGAGCACGAACCAGATCGAACGTAAGGAGCAAGAGTCACAGTGAGTAAGCACGTAGACTCAGTAAGAAGTCATTCAGTGATACGTCGATACCAAATACTGTATATATATTTTGCTACTAACCCGCATACCTATAACTACTAACCTGCATTACCAGTTTGTATTATTACATTAATACATTTATTTTCCTATATTCCTTCTTGGCGTTTGTAATTTATTGGTACTGGATTTCAGCCCGGAATCCACAACAGTTTCCTTATAAGGAAACAGCTAATGTTACCATTACTGTGACGTTTCCCGTTGCTTTCTACACAGTTTTGAATTCATAATTGTCCTTCGCATAGACTGACTGCCACTGAAGTGTAAATAGAGCAGTCTACTCTGTTATTTAATCCATAGCTGGGGGTGAAAACAGACAATCATAGCATTTTTCGAAAGAGAACGCAACAGTAGAAGATGAAACCGACTCGATGATTCGAATTTGCGTAACGTTGTCCACATGCCTGGTACCGTTTAGAAAAATATATTCTATGCTCAAGATGTCACTCATCTGTTTGTGGCCTAGTCCCGAGTTGCTTAACGATAGTAATCATTTAAATAGAGAAGACTCGGTGTAATAAATATTTTACTGCATTCTCATTTAGACTGCCATTAATTATCGAATGGCTGCTTTTATGAATACAGAAAGAAAACGAAAAAAAACAAAAAACAACAAAATAATCACACGATTTCGTGATTCATACTAATGGCGGGATTTTCGGCGGGGCACAGCGTGTTGAGAATAAAGTGATTTTGTCTTCATACATGAAGTCATTTACTTGATGGATTTCTTTAAACAAAAGAAAAAAGGTTTTCTTTATAGACGTATATGTTAGACGCAATAAGGACGTGAAGAATTTCTAATGAGAATTCAGCAAATGCAGTGTTGACATTTACTAGGAATAATTTAGTAACTGAACCCGTTCACTGCCACATGATGCATGCATTGTCTATCGTCTCTGATCAACTTGCGCGTCTCTTGTTTATCTTTCATTATTATTGCTTTTTTAATAATAATAATAATAATAATAATAATAATAACAATAATAATAAAATAAAATAATAATAATAATAAAATAAAAAAATAATAATAGTAAATAATAATAATAAAAATATTAATAAAAATAATAATAAAATAATAATAATAAATAATAATAATAATAAAAATATTAATAAAAAATAATAATAATAAAATAATAATAATAATAATCAGTAGACTAATTGAAATGTGTAAACGGGACCCGGAAAGAAATCAAAGAAAATAATAATAATAAAAGTTGTCAAAAAGTTCTCAAAGTACAAGGACCTTGAAATAGAAATCTCGAAAATGTGGCATATGGGAACATCAACAATCCCTGTTGTAGTTCGAGCCCTAGGACTGGTTGGAAAAGATTGCAGTAGACTAATTGAAGGGATTCCTGGAAGTCCATGCCTCAAGGAGATACAAAAAATTGTTCTGACAAGTACAGCCCACACCTTACGAAGGGCTTTATCAATGTAATCTATTTTTTTTTTTCAGTGGAAAGTATCATGATGCCATTTCTAACCTTAGGTCTCTGGGCGGGACCCGGAAAGAAATGTGTAAACTCCAGAAATCAAAGAAAATAAAAAAAAAATAATAATAATAAGGATCTTGAAATCGAAATTTAAAAAATGTAGTTGATGGGAACATCAATAATTCCCGTTGTAGTTGGAGCCCTTGGATTGGTTGGAAAATATTCCATTAGACTAATTGAA